AAATGCAAAAACTAAAATTGAATTATTTTGATTTGTGAAAGGTAGAAATATGTCAACTTCATTATAAGTATTTTTATCTCACACCAGAAGTTTAAAGATGTCCTTTAAAAATCCTTATTAGCATAGTGATACATTCAATACTTCAGGAAAACTAAGATAAAATATAAATTACCACTGTTTATTTCAATATAAATTACCACTGTTATTTATTAATGGGTTTTTTAAAAATCTCTAAATCAGTAAAATTACAAAATGTCAATTATGATTCCTCTTTGTTTCAGAAAAAAGGCAAATTCATAGAAAGTAGAAAATAATCTAGTAAGATAAACTACTAACATGTTTATTATATATTATCTACCTAACATATATACCATTATCAATTATATTCCAATTATATATCATTGATACAAAGCTCTCTTCAATTTTTTTTTTTTGGTCAGTTGTGGGGCTTGAACTCAGGGCCTGGGCGCTGTCCCTGAGCTTTTTGTGCTCAAGGTCAGCACTCTACCACTTTGAGCCATAGCATCATTTCCAGTTTTCTAGTGTTAATTGGAGATAAGAGTCTCATGAACTTTCCTGCCCAAGCTGGCTTCAAACCATGATCCTCAGATCTCATGAGGAGATAGGATTATAGGCGGAAGCCACAGGTTCCCAGCTAATTTTTTTCCTTTGTTTTTTGTTTGTTTGTTTGTTTTTATTTTTGCTGATCCTGGGCCTGGGCTCTGTCCTTGAGCTTCTTTTGCCCAAGGCTAATGCTCTACCACTTCAGTCACTGCACCACTTACTATCTTCAATTTTTATTATGTCTTGTACCACACATTCCAATTAAAAGTCTGTAGTGACATAGCCTATGTGCTTAATATTTTCATTGTGCTAACACAGTATTAGTTGAGTAAACATTGTGTGAACTGCTCTGGCATTCCTTTATTTAAGAGCATTTTTTCCTGGTTTATTTGGTACGGTTTTCCTTGGGTGTTAATTTTTGGAGAATTACCCTAAAAGTAGAATTATATAGGTAAAAAAATACTAGTCATGTAAGAGCCACCATTGTATTTATTAACCAGCTGTTTCCCAGGAAAAAAATACCAGCAGTTTTAAAGTCTACAGATAACGTGCAAATGTCACTGTCCCCACAGCCACACTACTGCCACAAACACACAATCATATCACATTGTTGTTTTTTTTGAGGGGGGAGAGGAGGGTCTAATGGCTGTGCACAGAGCCAAAAAGCTGTCTGAACATAGATTTTAATGACAGGCAAGGCTGAACATCAGTGCTAATGATGACTGACTTGTCTGAATGTTCGAATAGGATTCATTGAGGCGATAAGTAACAGCCTTTTGTTTGTATCAGTATTGCACATATTTATAAACAGTACCTTTTTCTACTTACAAATGTGACTTGTATACATTAAAGAAAGTCAGGCAAATAGGGAACAAAAGAAATAAAACCACCCATAACACCAACACACTTTTCCTTGTAAATAGCATATGATATAAAAAATGAATTTCTTTCCTTCCCCTCTCCATCCACCCCATCTTGACTAAAGTAATCATCATTAAATTGTTGGCATCAGCCAGGTGCTGTGGCTCATGCCTGTAATCCTAGCTACACAGGAGGCTGAGATCTGAGGGTCATGGTTCAAAGCCAGCAGTCCATGAGATTCTTATCTTGCACTAACCACCAAAAAACTGAAAGTGGAGCTGTGGCTCAAGTGGTATAGTACTAGCCTTGAGTAAAAAAATTTAGGAACAGTGCCAGGCCCTGAGTTCAAGCCCCAGAACTGGCACCAAAAAAAGAAAACTGGCATACATGGTTCCAGGATTTCTTGGTCAGAGCTTAGCCCAGCAGGAGCTCCCTCCTCAGTGCTGCAGCCCAGGCTTCCTTTGAAGCTATGAAGACCTCCTTCTGTCTTTTGATGGCTGCGTGGCAGCCTGTGATGTGTATGCAGTAAGTTATGAAACTGGGCCAGGAAGTGGTGCTGTGGCCCAAGGGGTAGAGCACTCGCCTTGGGCTGAAGAGCTGAGGGACAGCACCCAGGCCCAGAGTTCAAGACCCATGACCGACAAAAAAAAAAGGGGGGGGAGCCAAAGAGCAGCCCAGCTGGTAACTGGGGTACACATCTCACGTTTGTTTCTTTCTCGGTTGTACAAGCATAGGTTTACCCATCCGCTGGCCCCGGGGTCTCCCACTGCAATCACCCACCTCTCCTCACATTGAGGAGTATTCTACACTACTCTAGAGTATGCTAGAGTAACCCTTCTTGCTTTCCCTTCATTTCTCCGCCTTCCTTTCTTTCATCCCAAGTGGGGGAAAGGGACATGTTGATTCTTCTGCAAGGACCACCTTTCTCTTCAGTGACTCTCTCCGTACCATGTCCGCCCCCTGAACCTAGAAACAAGCCTTGGAAAATGTCATATTAGCAATGTCAATAATAACAGAAATAGGTATACAGCATTTAAAATATGTCAGGCCTAGTGGGTAGTTTCACGCATACGCACACGCACCCACATGTGTGTGTCTGTGTAAATTTAATCTGCATAACAGCTCTGTGAAGCAGGTATTACAGTTATTACCACCTTGAAGATGTGGGAACTGAAACACAGAGATCAGATGGCCAGCCCAAGGTCATACAGCTAGTAAATGCAGAGATGAGATTCAGACCAAGCATTCTGACTCTCAATGTCTCCACCCCAACTATTGAAGCTTCTGTAACAGGACTACAAATCAGGATGTTTTGGAGATTGGATGGTCAGAGAAACCTGTTGAACACCAAACAAATAGAGGGCAGCTTTCTGGGCTACATGGAAAAATCAGGGGTAGAGGGGTGCAGGGAACGATCTGCCATTTGTAGGAAAGCTTGTCTTGCCCAGCTGCGTTACAGGCCTGTGGACCTGCTGAATTTCCTATCACGTGTCCCTTCTATGTCTCCCTGCCCTAGCTCCTTCCCCTCAGAACAGACCAACAGCAGCAATACTCCCCGCACCTCCTCCAGTGTCTCCACCAAGAAAGTGTAGCCTCCCACTGAAAGCACAGAACTAAGTCACTTTTCCAGGCTTCACTCAGGAATCAGCCCTGCAACTCAGGTGTTTCCCGAAGCAGCCTCCAGGACTCCACTGTCCTCCATCCCTAAGACTGGATGTAGATTTGATTTTTAACTCACCAGTTCTCTAGCGCCACAATATCTCTTTTACACAAACAAGTAATCTTGAACGGGTATTCCGTTACAGGAGAAAGAGTGAACGAAAACTGCAAAACAAGCTATCATTCAGAAACCATGTTGTAGGCAACAAACTACTTTTTATATATAAAAGTCAGACTTCTATTCTCCTAAAAAGTGTTGCTAACTTCCAAAAGTAACTTTCAACAGACCATTTAAGCCCATCAATACCAAGTATTTATGAAGTATACAATAGCTTTAAATAGTCTATGTTATAAAGAACAAATTCTCACCCAAAAATAACCATGCTCATAATCACTAGCAAAAGAACACAGGTCATCTGGAACTACTCTGGCTTACAAGGTAGGCTCCTAGACAGAGAGATCCCTTCATGGTCACACAGCAGACTGCTGAGAGACTGAAACTGGGACTCAATTCCCCAGACTCCCAGTCTAAACCGTACCCAGACATTTATGAAGCACAGTGAGTTTTATAGAATTTGAAAGAGGCCACATGGTACACAGTATGAACCAGAAAACTACTATAAAACAACAAACAATTAAAACATAAAAACAGACAGCAGCTTAGATAGGCATGTTAAATTGTAACCCCTTTGTACAACCATCTGAAATCTGGAAAATCACCTTTTTTAAAAAAACTGAAAACCAACAAGCAAACAAACAAAAACAGGTAATAGCCTCTAAAAGAGTTGACCATAAGAAATAAAATTGTGAAATGAAACTTTATATGGGAAAGTCCAAACGTTTTGCTCATGAACATTACTGATTCATAACAAAATTATCACAGAAAAACAAACAATATTTTCAAGTAAAGCAAAGCAAATGCACGCCGGCGGTCGGGTTACGCAGAGCCCCGCAGCTGCGTCCTCTCCTCAGCGTCCTCCTTGGAGGAAGGGGCGCGACTCAGCGCCTCCACAGAGCAAAGGCAGGGCTCACCTCAGAGCACCACTGAAGATGAGACAGCATTAGAAAAGCACCTGCGGGTGCATCTGGCTCAGCGCTGGTACTCAGTAATTGTTTTCTCTGAGTCCGTACTGTTTTTTTTTCTATTTAGATAACCATCAAACCTTGACATAGTTACTATATTCCTTTAAATGTAGTCAAGCTTCAAATGACACTGGAAGAATATGTAAGATTTCCTAAAGAACTCAAAATTCAAATAATGGTAATACCATGGTTTAAAAAAACAGTAATAGTGCCGGGCGCTGGTGGCTCACGCCTGTAATCCTAGCTACTCAGGAGGCTGAGATCTGAGGATCACGGTTCAAAGCCAGTCCAGGCAGGAGAGACCGTGAGACTCCTATCTCCAATAAACCACCAGAAAACCGGAAGTGGCGCTGTAGCTCAAGTGGTAGAGCGCTCGCCTTGAGCTGAAGTGCTGAGGGACAGTGCCCAGGCTCAGAGTTCAAGCCCCAGGACTGACAAAAAAAAAGGGAGGGGCTGAGAAGTTGGCTCAGTGGTAGAGAGCTTGCCTTGCATGCTTGAGGCCCTGGGTTCGATTCCTCAGCACCACATAAGCAAAAAGAAAAAAGCTGGAAGTGGCGCTGTGGCTCAAGTGGTAGAGCGCTAGCCTCGAGCTGAAGAGCTGAGGGACAGCGCCCAGGCCCACATTTCAGGCCCCACGACCAAACCCCCCCAAAAAAATTTAAATATAATACCACTTAAGTCCTATGAATCATATTTTCAGCATTTACTTCAATTCTTAAGGACAGTTTCATGTCTGATTGACCCTTAAAATCAATCATGAAACAGCAAAAGGAAACTGGGACTTTTTAGCACCACGATTAGCCACCATGACACCCGTACTGGAAAGGACTTACCACCTCTTCCTGCATCTTCCGCAGCTTATCGTCTATCTCCTTCAGCCGGTTTTGCTGGTCTCGCTGCTCTTTGGTGTTTCGAAGCACTTTGTCTCCGGGGACTAGCTCCATAATTTTTTCATCACCAAGGTCAGATTCCTAATTTAAATAAATAAATACATAAAACCCCAGGCTGGTGACGAGCCCCATGGCACTGTGGGTAGAGCGTGCTTCCCAGACAGGACACTGGCCCTTCAGAGCCAGTGACGTCTCTAAAACCCCCCTGCTGGTGGCTGGTGGCCCAGGTCACTATGTTACAGTTGTTATGAAGCATAGCTGCATGGCAATCTAGTAAGCACCCATGCTGGAGTTCACAGACATGTTATTTGGGGATAGGGTGGGTGGATATTTGTGGAGAAATACACTGGAAGGAAATTTAACAATAATTGATGATAAAAATCTTAATTATTTTATCCTGTTTTATTTTTAATTACCCTTCTCTGTGATTGAGTTTCCCATAGTGAACATGTATTACTTGCATAGGCAGCAAAGTCATTATTTTAAAGAAAACAAGAAAATTTTTCTACCAGAGCTGTTTTTGCTCTGCTCTGAAAACCATTTTCTCCTTACCAAAAGGTATAGGCCTACAGGTTAGATTTTCCCTCCAGCACGACTATCATAATCAATGAGAAAGTCACCTCCTCTTTCCAGGTCTCGATTTCTTCTGAGAAAGTTTAATTCCATTCTAGTGGCTTGTAAGTCTTTAATTCCCTCCAGTTGGATCCAACAGACGACGTGTAATGTCTTTTCTTAGCCACAGCCTCTCAACTACCATGTAGTTCAAATATGTGGTAAAAGCAGGGGCCAAGATTGGAAATGGAGCTGTGGCTTGGGTGATAGAGGGCTCACCTTGAGCAAAAAAGCTCAGGGACAGCACTCTGGCCCTGAGTTCAAACTCCACAACAAGCATTTTCTTAAAAAAAAAAAAAAAAAAAAGCAGGGGCAAAAGAGCGAACCAGAAACCAAAACAGCCTCTGACACTGGTGAAATGCTCCCAGCTGCACAGCCGAAGTGCTCAGGGTTTCCTTTTGCATAACATGTTGTCTATGGTTTCATCCCTGTGATGTACCAAGATGATTTTACAGTGACTTCAGCAGAAGTTCTCTGTGACAGGCACAGAATGTCTAATGAAGCCCCAGGGCAGAATTATCCTTGAGGTAAATTGGTATTTGTTGATTTCCGCTAATTGATTGTCCAGGGATCCTCTGTTTATTCTTGGAAAAGTATCTCTGGTAATGACTAAGGCCACAGGGGTCTTTGAAGCTAAATAAACTCATTTTCAAAAGTCAAACACAAAGGAAATTTCTCCCAACTTCCTATTATTTGATATGCAAAGAAGACATGTATTAAGGTCTGGAAACCAGCCCTGGTATTAACCAAGTATTCATGGCCAGCTTGCCTGTGTTTTCACATTAATAATGCTCTCCATTTCTACAGGCGGCTGTGACTTCCTGTCCTCAGGTGGGCCAGCTGCCTGGCTGCATGAAAGGGGGTGGGAGAGAATCTTTCAAACAGATTGTTTCTGTCATCTTAGAATACTGCCATGAAATAAAGGAACTGCATTGGAAGCACAACAGAAAAACAAAGAAAAATCTGTGAGATACAGGCTCTGGTGACAAGGACCTCTAATGTAACTTCTTGTTATGTCTCAGTGCAGAAATCTGTGCTCCTGGGCTGGGAAGGTGGCTCAGTGGTAAGAGTGCTTGCCTCACATGCATGAGGCCCTGGGTTCATATAAGCAGAAAAAGCCAGAAGTGGCGCTGGGGCTCAAGTGGTAGAGCACTAGCCTTGAGCTGAAGAGCTGAGGGACAGCACCCAGGCCCAGAGTTCAAGCCCCACCACCGAACCCCCCCCCAAAAAAAAAAGAAAGAAAAAGAAATCTGTGCTCCTGTGGCACCCTTCCAAAGGCTTTGGAACCCTTGCAACTAAGCGGATGCTTAGTGGTAGCTCTATGCCTGTGACTAGCATACGTTGAAAAAGTCCTCATAACATGATGGGGAAAGAGGGCAAATGTGTATATATGCGTAATTAGACAGGCGCTGGTGGCTCACACCTGTAAACCTAGCTCCTCAGGAGGCTGAGATCAAAGCCAGCCCAAGCAGACAAATCTGAAGGACTCTTATCTCCAATTAACTAGCAGAAAGCCAGAAATGGAGTTGTGGCTCAAGTGGTAGAGCACCAGCCTTGAGTAGAAAAAGCTAAGCAAGAGTGAAAGATTCTGAGTTCAAGCCTCAGTACTGATGCAAAAGGAAACAGTAAAACACTAAAAAATACAACCTTCCTCACCAAATGTTTGTTAATTTCCAGTTAGTATACTTTCCTTTGACCAAAAAAGAAAGAAAGAAAATCTAACCATGAACTGTAATTGTAGATTTAATGAGGCTGATTACAGAGGACGAATACACTACACTTCTTTACACGAGCCAAACAGAATAGACTTGATTACTGAATCCAGTACTGAGGATTTAAGAAACTGGATGTTCACATAACTCTTCTAGCTTAGACATTTTTGAAGAAAGCTGGAATCTAATATATCTACAAATAAGAAAACGTGAATTGTAGACCCTCACTCAATTTTATGGTGGGATTTACAATTCGTGGAGAGTTAGGAGATGGATATGGGAAGGTATGCAGTTAAACCACAGAGCTCAAGAAAAAAAAATGCATCAATTAGTTGTCTTTTGCTAAGATGAAATAAAAACTTAAAACAGATGTAAAATTTGCAGCCACACAGCATTATTAACATTACCATAATTGTGATGACATTTCTTCTTTTGAATGTGACCACATGCTTTGTGATACACAGAGAAAATCAGATGCACAAAAGCCAAATGCTGCTTTTACAATATCGCCATCAAGTTAAGCACTAGAGAAAGCCATCTATATGAAAACAATCTAATCAGCAAGCTCATAAGGAAAAGGAAATCTCCTCTACCCCTTTTACAACCTCAGTAATATTCTGCAATTGTATGTTTGTCATGGTAGGATTCACTGTCTGTTATCAATGGCAGGCTAAGTCAAACAGTCTGTCTGTTAGCCTGTTTGGACTGCTGTCTTGACAATACAATACAGCATGGTGGATGTTACAGTGACGTGAAGAGTCTGCATCCCACAGAAACAGCAGTCACTACACTTTCTATCCAGAAGAGCTGGTCCCAAGCAAGGATTCTGGTCTAAGGTTACCATATTTTCTTTCTTTCTTTCTTTCCCTCCAACCCCCCTTGTTGTAGAGCTTCAACTCAGGGCCTAGGCATGTCCCAGAGCTCTTTTGCTCAAGGCTAGTGTTCTACCACTTTGAGCCACAGCTCCATTTCTGATTTTTAGGTGGTTAACTGAATATAAGAATCTCATGGACAATGTTGCCTAGGCTATGTTGCCTAGGCTGGCTTCAAACTGCAATCCTCAGATCTTGGCCTATTGAGTAACTAGGATTACAGGCGTGAGTCACCAGCATTCAGCTATATTTCTCTCTCCTTTTTTTGCAGTATGAATTCACCTAGCTACAGGTAGATATAGATATATAGATATAGATACTGATAGAGAGTGACAGTATTGGGGCTTGAATTCAGGCCTTCAAACTCTTACTTGGCTTTTACACTCAAGGCTGGTGTTCTACCACTTGAGCCACTGTTTCACTTCTGGCTTTTTGCTAGTTAATTGGAGGTAAGAGTCTTCTGGACTTTCCTGCTTAGGCTGGCTTTGAATCAAGAGCCTCAAGAGCTGGTGGCTCACGCCTGTAATCCTAGCTACCCAAGAGGCTGAGATCTGAGGATCGTGGTTCAAAGCCAGCCCAGGCAGGAAGGTACACAAGACTCATCTCCAATTACCTCCAGAAAACCAGAAGTAGCACTGTGGTTCAAGTGGTAGCATGCTTGCCTTAAGCTGAAGAGCTGAGGGACAGCACCCAGGCCAAGAATTCAAGCCCCATGACTGACCAAAAAGAAAAAAGAGCCTCATCTCAGCCTCCTGAGTAGTTAGGATTACAGGCATGAGCCACCAGTGCCAAGCATAGCTATATGTATTTTTTAAACACTTTGTGAGTTAAAGAAGACCCATCTATGAGTTTCATTTGACCAGAGGCGACCAGGCTTAGCCTGGTGCTTTGCTGCAGTCTTCAGTATCTCTGACCCTTTCTGCTTCCTGCTCGAGTTCTTCTTTCTAAGGCAAATGGAACACTCTGCTCTGAATCTCTGCAACACTTGACTTATAGCCCTGTGCCAGCAACATAGGCCCACACTATCCTGTGCCACAGTTACCTATGCAGACTCAGAGCCAACTCTTTTCCAAAGGAAAGAGTTCCTAAGTCATGTATTGTAACACGTAACTTCATTCATCGAAGTCTATGCCTGATAATACGATAAGCACTTCACATATGCTAATCTTCACAACAACCCATTTTCTAAATGAGGAACCTGAGGTTTAGCTGAGCAGCTAACTGATGTCAAAGTCAAAAGGTGCTTTTGGACGGGGATGGAGATTCCGGTCTGCGTTCCACAAGTGATGTGTGAGAACACTTCAACCCTTGCTGCTCTCAAGAGTCAGAGTGGCTGTGCCCTGCCCTTTCACAAAGAACCCAAGGAAGAGCCGGGCACTGGTGGCTCACACCTGTAATCCTAGCTACTCAGGAAGCTGAGATCTGAGGATCGCTGTTCCAAGTCAGACGGGGCAGGAACGTTCGTGAGACTCTTATCTCCAATAAACCACTAGAAAACCGGAAGTGGTGCTGTGGCTCAATCGGAAGAGCACTCGCCTTGAGCTGAAGAGCACAGGGACAGCGCCCAAGCCCAGAATTCAAGCCCCACGACTGACCCCCCTCCCCCCAAAAAAAAAGAACCCAAGGAAGCTGAGGTGGCCCAGGGAGGTTGCTGCCAGTCACCCCCAGCTTTTAAGGAACACTTTGACTCTGCTCCTTTTTCTGAGATAGTTTCAACTGGCCTAAAACGAGATCCCTTACCTTGGAGAGAGGATCCAAGTTTAAATCTGAATTATGAGTATGGATTATTGATATTTAAATCTTTTGGAAGGTCAAGAAAATCCTAGCCATCTATAATTGTAGAACAAATGATCTGGAGATACTTTTTCTTAAAATATCATCTGACTCCAAACAGATCTTAAAAGTACTGAAATAGAAGGAGGTCGGGAAAGAATTCTACTTTTGCAAAGTCCTGCTCCTCTCTGTATCCTATACTTTCTACCAGCTTTGTAAAAGAATATTTGAGAAAATTACTGAGAAACACATTCCTTTAAAACTTCACAAGAGAACAACTCAAGAGGTAGGAGCAGGAGGATTACAGTTTGAGGCCAGCCTTTGAGAGGCTGAGATCAAGAGGATTGCAGTTTAAGGCCAGTCCAGCATACATGAGAAACCAATTATCAACCAATAGCTGGCAAAGTGGCACTTGCCTGTCATCCCAGCTAGGATGGGAAGCCAACTGTGGCCCAAGAAGTAAGAGAGCCCCTTTCTCAAAAATGACCAGCACAAAAAGGGCTAAGAGGTATGGTTCAGCAGTAGAGCGGCTGCCTGCCAAGTACAAGGCTCTGAGTTCAAATCACAATACCACCAGATAAGGAAACCATCTCAAAAACAAACAAACAAACAAACAATGGGTAGGGAGAGTGACAGAGCACTTCATGCACCAGGCTCCCGTCTAAACCTCAGTACCAGAAGGAAGAAAGAAAAAAAACTCTCATAGAAGTCATCAGCACAAGAAATATCACTGCTCTTGTGTTTAAATGAAGGAGCTGAAGAGCTAGGCAGAGAAGGGAACACGCCGGCCCGCTAGCACCGAGTCCGGAAAGAATAAAGACAAAGAGGGCTGTCGACTGACGGGGGAGCGGGGGATCGCTGTAAGCTGCGCCCCTCCCTCTATCCTCATGATGACCAGGAACCACCTTACATCACAGCCATGGATTTATAAAGCAAGTACTTCCTCAGAGACCATAGCTAGCAGATTACCAAGAGAAGGAAAATGAGTCAAAATGGAAGCGACCGAAGATCCACAATTATGGCGCTATCACAGAAAAAGCAACTGGGAAGAAGTGGGTAGAGGGAGTAAGCATGCCGGCTAGCTTTCCCAGGCCTCACCTGGACAGTGTGCGTGCTCCCGGGTTAACATACCTGGTTATTCTGACTTTCACACCGTGGAGAGACTGCGGAGAGCTCCTGGAGCTTTGTGTCAATGTCAGCCAGCTGCTGATGCTGGCTGGGTGCCAGTGTATACCCCTCTCCTGGGACGAGGCGCCCGGGCAAATCACCCTAAGAGGAAAACATTACTAGGTCACTCTGCATTTTCCCCCCAATACCTAAAACATGCCATTCGGACTATGACAAGACAGCTCAGACCTTCACACATCCAATAAACAAAACACAGAATTCATGTCGGGATAGAGAAAAAAATGTGTTACATTTTTTATATCTGCCAGTGTGGTATAAAATATCTTCTTACAGAATGTAAGAAGACTGTAAGTGGAATAAGTTGGCCTCACAGCCTTCTTTAGAAAAAGTTTGTGTGGAGCTAGTCATGGTGGCGCATGCCTGCAATCCAGCTACTCGGGAGGCAGAGATAGGAGAATCATGGTTTGAGGGCAGTTGGGGCAAAGTTAATGAAACCCTATCTCTTAAAAAAAAAACTAAGCAGGGCTGGGAAGGTGGCTCAGTGGTAGAGCGCTTGCCTTGCATGCCTGAGGCCCTGGGTTCGATTCCTCAGCACCACATAAGCAAAAAGAA